TGTGCGAATTTGTGTATGTATATGTGTGTGTGTGTGTGCGTGTGTGTGTGTGTGTGTATGTGTGTGTTCGCGTGTGTGTGTCTGTATGTGTGTGTGTGTGTATGTGTGTGTGCGCGTGTGTGTGTGTACGTGTGCAAGTATGACCTTACAGTTGCAAGTTCGAAAGCCTGACAGCCTAACCACTAGACCACCGACGCCAAAGATGTGGTGACAGCAAGACTAGCACCAAGAAGTCAAAGTAGTGACTGTCATAGCAGTCGAAAGCGATACAAAATACTCTCAGCTCTTAGCCTAAGGTTGTTCTAAAAGCTCGCGGGCAGCTAGTTTAGTATAATCTACCTCTCCAGTCCTGGTTTTTTTTTGGTTGTTGTTTGTCTGTCAGTCAGCTTTAATGGATATATCCTTCGGTATAAAGTGGCTAACCGACGTCAGTGGTGTAGCGTGATGTGCTTTGCTGTCGGAAGCAGGAGACCCATGTTCGATTCCCGAGTGGGCGGTTGGGGGGGGGGAATTTTTATCAAGCTATCAACGTGTTTCTTATGGGGCGTATAAAACATACATTTTAGAGAAGAAAAAAACAAAACAAGCAAAAACAAAATTAATAGCTACTTTTTCCAGCCAAAAACGTATCTGAGTTGTTACGATTAACGTCTGGAGGCGTCTTGGCATGCCGGCATGTTTGGGCAAATTGGAGTTCACGTGATAACAAACCTGGGCTCACACAAGAGCTTCTTTGAGCTGAAAGCTGGAAATAGAAAGTACAGTTAAGAAGCAATTACACGTACCAGGTTCTTGGGCACTGAAGAAACGTTTGATCTTATTGTGTCTAGAGACATTGCTATTATTGTAACTATTTTCATGCCTACCGCTATGAGATAGGTGCCAATTGTCTGGAAATATTCAGGGCAGTTTGAAGTTTGAATCCACAAACGCATTATGTTTCCGTTTTTCTTTTGGTATTTGTTTAATCCTGACTAGTGACACTTTTCTTAAAGAATAATGTTGGCTGAAGAAGTATCAAATTACTTTCTGTTATATGTAGAGGTAGACGTGTGGCACATATATTATATGGTTTTAATAACTTTGGCAAAAAAAAAAAATATCATCGGAGTAAAATATAGGCGTATCTATTATGCGCCAAAATTACAGATCCCCGTTTATCAATCTGAATGATGCACTCAGAGAGATTTATGTTTGGTTGCTTAAGAGACGACCGACCAGGCATTTTTCCGTGTCTGTTTGACGGATTCCAAGCAACAAGCTCCATTTTTTTCAACACATTTTACCTCCCTTCTTTACAAGTACTCTCCACGCCATGTGGCTTGTATCTGTCCAGGGGGGGAAGAAACCCATCGTAGAATGACGTCATACCCTTCACGATTTTTTCCTCTTTAAGCCCCGAATTTTTTTCGTTTTTTGATTTCTTTTCATTTTCTTTTAGAATTAAGGTTATGGTTTAAAGGAAAAAGAGTCGGGGAAGCAACGGATATTAAATTTTTGTTTAGTTAATCAACTAAAAAAAACAACCCTTCCTTCTCCTGTAAAATTCGCTGATTAATCATACGCTGCCTCTTTCAGCCCAAATTTTTTT